ACCCCTCGGCGGGAATGCCGCCGCACTCCCAAGCGGCGCACTGTAGCAGTGCGCCACTGGGCCGTCCCCAAATGCTTCTTTATATATGATATACGTTATAGAAAGTTGTATGTGCTGTGTGCCTGTATGTGTGTGTATGTGCATATATGGTCTGTTTATTGTTCTGCTTCTCTGTAGGTAACCTAACTTTTTTTGTTGTATGTTCATGCTGGAAAATTGGTGATCAGTCAAGGAAGATCCTGTTTTTAAGTTTGAGAAAAAATACAGAAAAATGCAGAAAATTATGTAACAATCACCCATGTTATGTTCATTGCCAGTCATTTTTTTTCCTTCAAAATAAAATATAAAATAAAGTAAAATTTTCTTTTAATCACCACCCTTGGTCCTATTTTCCTATTTGCCCCAGAGAGACAGTTACCATCATGATTATGATGTCTGTTTTCTGAGTTAATTTTTTTTTCCCTTCTGACCGGTAAGGGGATCGCAACCCTCAGCATGGTGTGGTCTGCACCATGCTCAGCCAGTGAGTGCACCGGCCATTCCTATGTAGGATCCGAACCCGCGGCATCGGCACTACCAGTGCAGCACTCTCCCGAGTGAGCCACGGGGACGGCCCTGAGTTAATTTTTTGTTGTTGTTTTGTTTTGGCAGCTGGCTGGTATGGGGATCTGAACCCTTGACCTTGCCGTTACAAGGTGGTGCTCTAACCAACTGAACTAACCAGCCAGCCTCCGAGTTCATTTTTTCAAAAATTATATGTATATGTGTATATGGGGACATTTAAAAAACTTGTAGAAAAATAGAATTAAAAGATAATACAAATCTTTCCATGAACTTTTTTTTGGCGGCTGGCTGGTATGGGAATCTGAACCCTTGACCTTGCTGTTATCAGCATCACACTCTAACCAAGTCAGCTAATCAGAGAGCCCCCATCCATGAACTTTTTGAAGTACGCTTTGTGTGTGTGTGTGTGTGTGTGTGTGTGTGTGTGTACCATGTATGTATGTATCGTGAATAATATGTAGCATTACTTTTGTGTGTTCTTAGATTTTCATAAATGTTACATAATAAGCATATTCTGGTTTGTGCTTCTTTTATGTGGTATTATGTTTTTGATATCCACTTGTGTTGCTATATATTGATTAGCTCATACCTGAAATATCTGTTTTTGTGTTATCTCATTAAGTAAAGGCTAAAAATAGGAGGTGCAGGAGATAAAACAGAGTCAGGTGTAGCTGGAGGAGAGTGTGACCTGAAGTGCTTTTTTTACCCAATGGAAGAGGTCGTCACCAAAAATTAGAAGTAGATATTGTCAGTAACATTATGGGACAAGTCTTCTTTTTGTCCTTAGTTCCTATTTTCCTTTTTCTTTCATAGAAATGTGTTTATATTTTCCAGAGCCTTCATTAATGGTGCTAAAAGGTCAGACTAAAAATAAATATAGGTCAATGGTTGTCATTTTAGGGTTGCCGGACCTCTTGGGTCCAGACCCTTGGGTAATAGATGTCCTTGAGATGTATTTAGTAGTTCAGAAAACCAAATGGAAATCGTAGTCAGACTGCCCAGGCTAACTAAAATACCAGTTTGGCCAGTGTTGTATCAAGTCAGTGGGATAACACATTAGCTATCTCATGCTGGAAACTCTGTCAATTATATGTGTCTTTAAAATGATTTTTTAAGATAGAATTATATATAGTATCTTAGTCATACAATGAGATGAGTTTTGACAAATTTATTTATTCATGTAACCAATACCCCAATCAAAATACAGAATATTTCTGTCAGCCTAGAAATTTTCATTGTGCCGCTCCCAGTCTCCCTCACTCTAGGAGGCAACTACTATTCCCATTTCTGTCCTGATAGACTAGTTTTACTTATACAATTTTATATAAATGAAGACATACAGTATATATTTTTTTGTGTCTGGCTTCTTTCTCTTAACATGATGTTTTGAGATTCATCCATGTTGTTGTATGTATCAGTGGTTTTTTTTTTTTAATTGCTGTGTGGTATTCCATTGTATGAGTAAGCCCCTCTGTGTATGCATTTTTGTGATTAAAAAATAGAAAAAAATTTTCTACTATGAATAAGGCTGCAATGGATATTCTTGTTTAAGTGTTTTGGTGGCTATACAATTTGATTTCTTTTGGGTAAGATACTTAGGGGTGGATTTGCTGGATTACAAGGCAAATGTATGTTTAATTTTAACTTTATATATTTGTCCTTGATTAATTAATGATGAGAATGGTTATTGTCACTTAATATATGCAATTTGATAGGTCATTCAAAGTAGAAGGTCTACAAGGTAAAGAAACTAATAAACAAAGCCCTTTGTGTTGGATTGGTTGACTGTATGGTTATTTCACCCGTTGTATTACACGCTACAGGGAAGGAGTATATTCCTTGGGTTTGTTTCAAAGTTAGGTGAAATCTGATAATGAACATGAGATCTGTTTTCACTACTATGAGTCTTTGTTTTTTTCACCTCTTTTTCAATGGACTATTTTAGGAGAAATGGAGCTGTCACCCACATCAAGATTCAGAACACTGGTGATTACTATGACCTGTATGGAGGGGAGAAGTTTGCCACTTTGGCTGAGTTGGTCCAGTATTACATGGAACATCACGGGCAATTAAAAGAGAAGAATGGAGATGTTATTGAACTCAAATATCCTCTGAATTGTGCAGATCCTACCTCTGAAAGGTCAGTGACATTTTAGTGACCACAAAGTCTGCATCTCTCCTGTGCCCTAGTTGTTATATGAATGCACTGTGGGGGTCTGTGTATGACTGTATGGCTCCAAAGGCTTGTATCTGTTTCTCAAGCTGTAATCTTTAAAGTATTATTTAAGTAAAAATAACAGGATCAAATCATTCTGAGTGCCGTTTTCTTGCAAAAGCTTCGATTAGTATTATTTACACTCATTCTACAGGGGTTTCATTCTATTCCTGTATATACGTGCAGTAATTTTAAGATTTATTGAACTTAAGTTGATAATCTTTGAGAGTTATTAGAGGAAAACAAATGATAATGGAAACACCAAAATAGCAGTTCTCTATAGTGGTTCCTGACCAGTTATTCAGCAGTTCTACCAACAGATGTCAGTTTAAGCTCACGAGAGGAAAAGCAAAGACCTCAGAGGGTCAGCTTTTTCATCAGTTCTTTTAATGTTATATCCGCAGATGTGTGAGAATGACTTTGCTTAGAGGGAATTGTATTCTTTCCATTCCCACCCCTCTGAGTTGATATAAGCTGATGAAAGCTTGGGCTTGATTTATTTGTATTGCTTTTCTACATTCCCAGTCTCCTCTCTCAGTACAAATTCAGGGTCTCTTAATAAGGTTTGTATATTTTATACCTTCAGGTATGTTTTTTCAGCTCACATCTTTATGTCAATGCTATTAGTACTGATAACTTGTTTCTCCAGCTACAACTGTAGCTTCAAGCAAAAGGCTGTCGACCAATGCTGTGCAGTTTATTTCTAAATTTTACTCTTTTCAGTTGAATGTGGGTGAAATATAACTCAGAGTATATTCCTTTAGTGATGAACCATTAGCATTACCTGCCATGGTAGTGGTGGTTGTCTTACCAAGATCCTGAGGGAAAAGCCATGTTATTAGTATGACTATGTTAAGGTGTTTTCCATAGTAACTTAGAATGGTGTGGTCTCAAAGTTTGTCCTCAGACAGCCATGGATAGCCTACATCAGGACTCTTTGGTGTGCTGGTAAAAATGCAGATCCCTGGGTCCCATTTAGACTAAAGTGTATTGATATCTCTGGTTGTGGGGCACAGGAATTAACATTTTTAGCAAATCCTTTACCTGTACTCCAAGTCTTAGGTGCATTAAAGTTTGAGATAACACCATATATAGTCCAAAGACATTGACATCAAATTTGGAGGCTGTTGAAATATAGGTTGTAAATATGGAAAGATTTAGAATGCTTGAATTAATTTATGGTGGAGATCCTTTTTAATTTAATGTTCACATGCCAAGGCAAGGGCAAACATTCCAAATGATTTTCTGTCTCTATTGTAACTTTTTATATAACTTTTAAAAATGGCTATGATTAACTAATTGTTCCTTTTAGGCTTGGGCAATGGAAAAACCACAAATTGCATTTTTAAAAGATGGGAGATTTAAAAGGAAATAGGAAAGTTTGAGGACATTTGTCTCAAAATGACTGTGGGCTCATTTATGAAGTTTGGTGGTCATTCTTAACATCTTTGTCATTTTTCTGGCCTGTTTGGGATGCAAATTCTGTCTTATGCAGGATCGATCAATCCCTTGGAAGAATGTGTCTGTTTTTTTGTGTTTGGGAGAGTGGACTATATATGGTGGTTTTGTGAAAGAATGTTGTGAACCCATGGCAGAATTCAATTCATTTTCATTTTTAAAAATTTAGGTGGTTTCATGGACACCTCTCTGGGAAAGAAGCAGAGAAATTACTAACTGAGAAAGGAAAACATGGTAGCTTTCTTGTACGAGAGAGCCAGAGCCATCCTGGAGATTTTGTTCTCTCTGTGCGCACCGGTGATGACAAAGGGGAGAGCAATGATGGCAAGTCTAAAGTGACCCATGTCATGATTCGCTGTCAGGTAAAGCTCCAATCAAAAATGTCACCTTTGAGTGATTTTTCTGCTGGGAGAAGGCAGACACCATTACATCCAGTCAGATTTTCTTTGCTCATTTAGTCAAGGACTTAAACACTTTCAGTATATTATTTATTATAATTGTTTCATCATTTCAAAACTCTATTACATTATTTCCAGTCTCTCTCTGGAAGATTAAATCATGCCTTGGTCCTGCAGAAACTGCTCTGTTTATGTCTGATGGCAGCTGGACTCTGCCTCAAAGTCTCAGTTTTAAAAGTGATGGCCTCAGCCGTTCTTTGGGATTGTTACCATCTAGCCTATCACTGTATTTTCCTTCATATTACAAAACCCCTGCATTAAGGTTGAGAGGATTGGGATGGCCCTTGGCTCACTTGGGAGAGTGTGGTGCTGATAACACCAAGGCCCCGGGTTTGGATCCCATGTAGGGATGGCCGGTTAGCTCACTGGGTGAGCATGGTGCTGACAATACCAAGTCAAGGGTTAAGATCCACTTACTGGTCATCTTTAAAAAAAAAAAAGGTTGAAAGGATTGAACTATTTCTTTTTTTTAAAGTAACTGGACAAGGAAGTTGAGCCTTTGTTTTGACATAGTTTCCTAAATAGAAACTGTTTATTCACTTATTCACTTCAGTTTTTTAATTAAAATAAAAAAAAAATTCGCCTATATTGAGATATAATTCACACACCATACAATTCACCTTTTTAAAGTGGACAATTTAGTGGTTTTTACTATATTCGCAAGGTTGTGCAACCACAAACATTATCTAATTCCAGGACATTTTCATCATTCCAGAAAGAAACCCTGTGCCCATTAGCAGCCATTCTCCATTTTCCCCCCTCCCCTGGCAACCACTAATCTTCTTTCTGTCTCTATGGATTTTCCTGTTTTGGACATTTCATTATAGATGGAATTAGACAATGTGTGCCCTTTTGGGTCTGGTTTCTTTGACTTAGCAAAATGTTCTCAAGGTTCATCCACGTTGTAGCATGTATCATACTTCTTTATTTTTATTGTTGAATAATATTCCGTTGTATGGATATATCACCTTTTATTTGTCGATTCATTAGTTGGTGGGCATTTGGGTTTGTACTTTTTGGCTATTAGGAATACTGCTGCTATGAACATATGTATACAAGTTTTTGTGGTATTCTCTATTTGGTGAGATGTCATGCTCATACTTTAACTTTTTAGGTATGGTTTGCTTTAATTCTTTAAACATATTTGTACTAGCAGATTTAAAGTCCTTGTATACGCTTCCTCAAGGACAGTTTCTATTGAGTACCTTTTTCCCCCTGTATTGGGCCATACTTTTCTGTTTCTTTGTGTCATACCATTTAAAATAATACAATGTGGTAACTTTGGAAATCAGACGCCTACCCTACCCAGGGCTTGTTATTGCTGCTGGTTATTATTGCAGTAGTTGTTGTTTGTGTGTTTGGTGACTGTCCTGGACTAATTGTGTAAAGTCTGTATTCTTTGTCATGTGTGGCCACTGAAGTCTCTGCTTAGGTAGCTTAATGGTCAGCTAATGACTGGACAGAGATTACCTTAAATGCATTGACTCATTAAGTCTCCTAGCCTTTGTCAAGGGGCTGTGTGTGTGTGTGTTGGGGCTCTCCTGTAATGCCCAGCAGTTTACTGTTCTCCCTTAGCCTTCACTTCCTGCTTGTGCAGCGCCTCAAGGTCAGCCAGAGTTGAGCGATCGGAGACTTCTCGGGTCTGGACTTCACACATCCCTGCACATGGCCTTCTAGATTTCCAAGAATATGTTGGAGGTTTTCAAAGCCCCTTATGGACATTGCCTAGGGTTTACTATTAAGTTTTGGCCCAACTAGTATCGCCACTTCAGGCAGCTGCAATATTAAACAGTTGCTGTTAATTGTTTCTCCCAAATTCCTTGAAGACAGGTCCGAGTGATGTCTGAGTGTCAGCACCACGCTCAGCCAGTGAGCAAACCGGCCATCCCTATATAGGATCCGAACCCGCGGCCTTGGTGTTATCAGCACCGCACTCTCCCGAGTGAGCCACGGGCCGGCCCGATGTCTGAGTGTCAAAGCTCTAGGTCAGGGCAAATAAAGACAAACTCCGAACTGGCTAGCAGCCAAAAAAAAAAAAAAAAAAAAAAAAAACAAAACTACCAAAAAGGCCCAGTAGTGACAATTATCTGGGAATAGGTCTCTTTAGAAGCTCTAAATCCATTCTGTCCTCTCTAGTTGTGCTAGGTTATTCGCTTTCACAGCTACTGTGGTTGAGGCTGTTGGTTTTCAAGGCTGCTGTGTAGCTGAGGAGAAGTGTATGGGAATAGGGCAGGTTAAACAGCACAGCTTGCTCTTCTTACCAAGATTCAGCCCTGTTTCTTAAGTGCTCCTCAGATTGTTGCAAATTCTTGGTTAATTTTCAAAGTTCTGAGAAAGTTGGTGTGGGGAAAATAGAATAATTTTGTCAGGCTCCCTAGGCTCAGGTCTGGCTGGGGGGTTGAGCAGCACATTTCTTGTAAACAAGTTGTGTGTGGGTGGAGTTGGTGTGCATGTGCACCCATGTATCTTTCTAGTTAATAGCTATTGTGTGTTCTGCACTTTGTGAAGCAGAGCTGGCAGCAGAGCTCCCATCTAAAAATAGAGCATGTTTACACTACTGGCAGCTGTTCAGTTTCTCTTCGGACTTCACCTTAGCAGTTGAGTTTCTGAGTTTCTCCTTTGTACTGTTTAGCTCCTAGTGTTGTGTGTGCTGAATAAAGACTATTCCTACTTCAGCCAAGGCTCCAAGGACCTTTTTGCTGGTTACCTAGCTCATAGATCTGTGTGTGAAGGGTTTGTGAATGGGCTCGATGGGTCTGTGAGCTCCAGACCGTAGCGCTAGCTCTACAATTGGCGTCATCAGTAGGATTAGGCTACAGTTGGTGACAGTTTTTGCCAGTGTTCTTGTTGCTTTTATGGAGGAGTGGATTTTCAGAGATCCTTACTTTATTATTCTGAAAGCACTTCCTCCCTCCCTCTAGTTTTGTTTGTTTGTTTGCTTTGTTTGGTGGCTGGCTAGTATGGGGAACCAAACCCTTGACCTTGGTGTTATAACAACACGCTCTAACCACCTGAGTTAACCAGCTAGCCCTAGTTTTATTTTTGAATAAAGGATCACATCCAAATATTTCATGTATCATTTCTAGGATTTTGTATTTTCTGAGTTTAACTACTTTCCTGTTTGCCTTAAATAGCCTATTCTGATCTCCTTGTCAGAAAAAATTTCTTTGCCTCTGTTTATAATTTCCCTTTTAAATTTTTGTTTTTTCTTGGGTTAGGGGTGAGGTGGGCAGCTGGCCAGTAAGGAGATCTGGACCCTTGATCTTGGTGTTAGAATACCAGTGCACTAACCACATGAGCCAACCAACTGGCCTATTTAGTTAACTTCTGAGGGAGAAACTTTTGTGTGGACTATTAAACGTTGGATTCTTACTTAGGGGCTCAGCATGAACAAACTCTTTCACATGGGGTCAGCCTCTCCCTTTCATCTCCTTTGTTGCTTTTTCCCCTTTGTACTACTTGTCACGTAATCCTGCCGACTATACCAATTGTAGAGCTAGAGCTAGGGTCTGGAGCTCACAGACCCCTTGAGCCCATTCACAAACCTTTCACATGCAGGTCTGTGAGCTAGGTAACCAGAAAAAAGGTCCTTGGAGCCTTGGCTGAAGTAGGAAAAGTCTTTATTCAGCACACACAAAACTAGGAGCTAAGCAGTCCACAGAGAAACTCAGAAACTCAACTGCTACCAGCAAGGGAAGCAGCTGCCAGCAGATTAAACATGCTCTATTGTTAGACTGAGCTCTCTGCCACCAGCCTGCTTCACAAACCGCAGAGCACACAAAAGCAATAACTAGAAAGATACATGGGTGCACATGCACACTAACTCCACCCACAAACAACTTGTTTACAAGAAATGTCGAGGGAGCCTGACTAAATTATCCTATTTTCCCCACAATCCACCCCTTCAGGGTTCCTTGCCGTACAATCTATGCGTTAAAAATCTTCTGTGATGTTCCCTTAGTGAGGATAAATGACCGGTTTATTTATACAACCTATTGTCTGTTCGATATGCCTTAAGCCTTGTCCTGTAGTTCTTTCCTTTAGCCGCAGACGTCCAGTTAGCAGTCATCATTGGTGTGATTTTCCGTGCAAATCTTGTAGTCATACTGATGTGAAGTTCAGTGCATATTCAGTAGATGATCACACCAATGTATGTATGTACCCAGTCGACTCTGGTGCAGTGCCTGCAGCCAGAACACTACGGGCAAAAAGACCCATAGGGTTATTGGTACCAGTAGGGGAAGTTCTTACCCCTATGGTAAGATACATACCAGTTTGCCATCCTGAGAAAGGATGGTTGCAGGAATAGGTATTTTACCTGGTTTGAGGTCCCATAAGTCCATACAAACAGAAGAGTAACTCTGACTTTGGCAGTGGTCCCACAAGATCCACCTGCCACTGTGTGAGGGGCACTCTCATCGAGTTATCTACCCATCAGGGCCACCCATCTCATCAGGAGCACATCTGCCCATCAGCGGCATTTTTTCTCAGGTTCATGTGGCACCTGGCAAGCCATTGACCACCTGGCCTTGCGGCCAGCATGCTGCATTCTCCAGTGTAGCCACCCAGCCACATCAACTGCTGGAGCTCTCTCCAGCCACCTTACCTTAGCCAAGGCATTGGCTTCATCATTGCCAATTCCATGTGAGGCCTCTGGTCCTCGCCTGCCCCCAAAAGATGAGCACCTTGGCCTGCTCCTTAATCAAAATGGAACAGTTCATCTGCCTCCTCAGGAACAACCAAAAAATCTTTTAAATCCACTGAATGTAGCTTGCTACCTGTTTCTGGATTTTTAGTAAAGAAACGCTGTTCAGAGCACAATTGCTCCCACAAAGCAAACAGAACTGCATTTGGCTGCCGGTCAGTTTTCTTTTTTCAACCCCTACTGCAAGCAAGTCAAGCCACATGACTAGTCTTGCTTGGTCCCTTTGGGATAAAATCACAAGTATTTCTTGGGGGTTTGGTCTTAGCCACCTTTTGGACCCCTTTTGCTTGTCTGCTATCCTCTACTTCACCCAAGCTGGCTATCATAGTCATTACTTCGTGTATAGGACGACCAATGTATGGGGCCAGGATGGCCATCAGTGACCCAAAGGACGTTGATGGGGCATTCTGCAGCACTATGTCTCTCATGCTGCCTGTAAAATTTTCATCATCTAGGCCACGAGTGTTCACAGTAAACATGGACTGCTGCATCCTCAGCTCTTGAATTATTTGAACTAACTCAGCATACATTTGCCATTTACTAACAGTCTTTGGCAGTTCTCCAGCATTTGCCCACATGGTTTGGGCGGCTGCACTCACCCTGATTACCTGACCCTTGTGCATACCTGCGGCTATTCTGCAGCTGCTGCCTAAGGGACAGGTGCATGGTGATGGAGGCTAATTTTTTCCATTTCCTCACCAGAGCATACCATGCTATCCACACCTAGGTCCCACAACTGCAACAGCCAAGCAGCCAGGGGCTCCCCCTGTTTCTGCTGAAACTGTCTACCCAAGTCAGATAACTCAGCCTGGGTATATGGGACATAGGTGGTAAATTGGGTCACCTGTGGATTGCCCACTGGTTGTCCACCCGGTCCCATAGGCTGCTTGTGCTTCATTTTCTGGTGCACGACAGGTCATGCTTGGGGACGCATGGTGTCCCCCAATTCACCACTGGGTTCATCATCCTCCCTGGTGTGAGAATCTGGAGTGGCCAGTTGCTGCATGTCATCCTCCAGGACATCTATTTGCACTTCCAACAACTCTGCTTTCCTCTTTGAATCTTGCAGTAGTTGCACGTCATCCTCCAACAACTCTGCTTTCTGCTTCAAATCTTGATCAGTTTGCAGCAGAGTGAGCAAAAGTCAGGCTCCGGTCAGCAGAAAAGTGGGCACTGGGCACTACGTGCTCAAGGACAGCCACATTTCCTCCCCCTCCCAAGGGGTGTTCTTCTGTAGTGCCTGGTGTATGCTGCCTTGCGTTACAGCGAGCAGCACCCAGATCCCAGTCAATAGGAAAGTGGCCACGGGGCACAACATGTTCAAAAGTAGCCACATTTCCTCCTTCTCCAAGGGCTTCTTGGCTCCTGTACCTGCTCAGAATCCTGTACCAACTATGCCAATGGTAGTGTAATCCTGCCAACTACACCAGTTGTAGAGCTAGAGCTAGGGTCTGGAGCTCACAGACCCCTTGAAGCCTATTCACAATCCCTTCACACTCAGGTCTACGAGCTAGGTAACCGGCAAAAAGGTCCTTAGAGCCTTGGCTGAAGTAGGAGTAGTCTTTATTCAGCACACACAACATAAAGAGCTAAGCAGTCCACAGAGAAACTCAGAAACTCAACTGTTACTAGCAAGGTCCTAAGTCAAACAGACTGAGCAGCTGCCAGCAGAGTAAACATGCTCTATTGTTAGACTGAGCTCTCTGCCACCAGCCTGCTTCACAAACTGCAGAACACACAACAGCAATTAACTAGAAAGATACATGGGTGCACATGCACACTAACTCCACCCACAAAAAACTTGTTTACAAGAAATGTTGAGGGAGCCTGACTAAATTATCCTATTTTCCCCATACTACTTCAGCTGTTTGCTCTTTCCATTTCTGCGGGAGAGTCAGTCTCTGTGCTTAAGCTGGGAAAAACAGTTGCTTTTATTTTTTACAATCAAGCTAAGTAACATATTCAATACTTCACATAGTCCTTTTTTGTTTTTTGGTGAGAACACTTGAGATCTACTCTCTTAGCAGATTTCAAGTGCTAAATACATTGCTATTAATTATAGTAATATAGTTACCATATTGTACATTAAGTCTCCTGAACTTATTCATTATACTGAAAGTTTGTACCCTTTGACCAACATTTCCCCTTTCCCCCACTCCCCAGACTCTGGTAACCACCATTTTACTCTCTGTTACTCTGAGCTCCACCTGTTTTTAGATTCTACATGTAAGTGAGATCATGCAGTATTTGTTTTTCTGTGCCTGGCTTCCTTTTTTGTGGCTTGCTGGGATCTGAACCTGTGACCTTAGTGTTACAAGGCTGTGCTCTAATCAACTGTGTCTGGCTTATTTCATTTAGCATAATGTCCTCCAGGTTTATCCATGTTGTTGCAAATGATAGGATTTCCTTTTTCTAGGTTGAATAATATTTTACTGTGTGTATGTACACACATACACATGCCACATTTTCATTATTCATCTGTTGATGGACACTTAGGTTGTTTCCATATACTGGCTATTGTGAGTAATGCTGCAGTGAATGTGGAAGTGTAGGAAAAACAGTCATGTAACATAAATGTAATAAACATCTTTTTTGTCTTGAAAGGAACTGAAATACGACGTTGGTGGAGGAGAACGGTTTGATTCTTTGACAGATCTTGTGGAGCATTACAAGAAAAATCCTATGGTAGAAACATTAGGCACAGTACTACAACTCAAGCAGGTGAGCATATTGGAAAGCTAAAGTTCCTCCCTGTAACAGAATTTAAAAATATAGAACTTTTTAAACATGTAGAAGTAGACAGAATAGTATCATCAACCTTTGTGTACCCATCACCCAACTTCAATTATGATCAACTCATCAAATCTCTCTTTAATTATTATTCCACTCACTGGCCACCTCATATAGTATTTGGAAACAAATTCCATATGTTATATCATTTCCATATGTATTTCTAAAAGGCACTGTAGAGTTTCAAATGCAAGTTTCCACTAAGTTTTTATTATAGATCCACCTTTGATTACCTTTAAGTGATCATATACTTTTTGACTTTGGAGTTGTTGCTGTTTCAGAGTTCACAGAAGCAAATGATATTATCTCTTTAAATAAAGAAAAATAGGCTTAAATTTATATCAGCAGATAAAGTATTTGTGGAGATTGAAGAAAGTTATATTTTCTGACAGAATAGAAAAGAAAGTGAAACTATTTGAAAACTTTTGTTGTGAATTCCTGTTCTTGCCTTTATGAATACCAACATAGAAATCTTTTTTTTTTTTGCACTAACACCTTTTTCTTTAATATTTTTTTCACTTTACACCAACTACTAAACTTGATTAGCCCCTCAACACAACTCGTATTAATGCTGCTGAAATAGAAAGCCGGGTTCGAGAACTAAGCAAATTAGCTGAGACCACAGATAAGGTCAAACAAGGCTTTTGGGAAGAATTTGAGGTAAGTTATTAAAAACTTATTTTTACATGAGTTATTAAATCCTATTTTTAGCGGAAGAGAAGTTGTTGGTCTTGTGTTTGGAATTGGATCTGAAAGACAAATCTAATGTCCTTTCTTAATTCAGCCATTGATTGACATGGAACAAGTTGCTGAGGGGGTTTCTTTGAAAAAGAAGGGCATTGTGTTCTGAGAGAAGGGAATTGGCAGTTAGTAGTAAATGGATGAGCCAACAGCTCCATTTGGCTATTTTGGGTTGGACCACTGGCAAAAACCCAGAAAAACAAAGGGTCTAATTCCTTTGGAGGATTTTCAGCATTCACTGGGGTCTTAGAAAGAATCCATAGCCTTATTGCAATGAGTAAGTAAAAGAGAAATATCTCATGATGGCTATAATTTGGGAGTTTAAATTGATAACTTTCGGAAGTTAAGTAAACTGATTTCTTTCCTGAGACGAACTTGGGTAGGAGAATGTTCCTGATGGGAATGTGCCATGTTCCTGTTGCACTCTTATAGGTTACTTACCCATTGACATTGTAATCTCTTTCTCTCCTCATCCATATGACAGAAAACTTGGCATATTCAACTTCATAGTTATCCTTAGCAGATAGCACAGTACTTGGCACATAGCAGAAACTCCATAAATGTTTGTTGAATGAGTATTTCTTTTATCTAATGTTTACATCATTTATTATTACTATTTCGTTTTATGGAAATGATTGTTCTATACTTTTTATGAGACTTTAGAATTTACATATGTTTGTGGAACGAATGAATAATGAACAGGCAAATGAAGCCCTTTTAGCCACGGAATGTCACAACAACTTGGTGAGCTAGATATTATTTCCATTCTACAGATGAGGAGCCTGAGGCTCAGGGAGGTTAAATAAATTGCTCAACCTTTATACCACAGATATTGATGTAATTCCAGCACTGGGTGCGGGTGCTGAATAGAACATTCACAGTTGTTGCTCAACATTTCTGAGCAGAGACTTGAATTCAGGTTGATTCTCTCATACCAGGCATTGGGTTAGCACTAAGGACACTATTGTGAACAAGATTGATAGGGTTTTTTAGATTCCTTACTTTCTGGTAGGATAAGTTGTTACAGGATAATACATTTATAGTGTCAGAACTAGAATCAGTCATTTCTCCAAGGAGTGAGCTAACTTCTCTTCCTCTCTCTCTTTTCTTCCCTTTCTTTCTTTCTTCCTTCTCTTTGTTCCTTTCATGGGAAGTGGCACTTAAAGATGACACAGTCTGTGGCACCAGGAGTACAGTACTCACTGCTACTAGGTTAGTTATTGTTTCTAGGCCTTCTCAATGGATGCAGTTAGAAGATTTTTTTTTCTTGAAATTAAATACATTATGAATTCTGATGATACTTAAATCAAATTCAGGACTTCAGGGTTTTTACTAACGTCGTTGGTCTTACCCCTGTATCTCCTTTCTCTAGTGCCAAAAATCCTATATCTTGAAGCCATAACGAGATTACAGTCAAGGATTTGGATCCCAGTACTGGCCAGCTGCCAAAAAAAAAAAAAAAAAAGAGAGAGATTACTTATTTGTTTTGTCCCACATTACACACATAATAGTCTCAGAATAATATTTCCTAATAATATGATTACTGAAAACAGTTTAATATTTTTTCTAGTTTTTTTTTTTTTTAGTCTTTCAGAGATGTATAGTCAAATTACTGTGCCTTAGAATCATTTATAATAGTCCTTGTCTGCCTCTCTGCCCAGTTAGCTCACTTGGTGAGAGCACGGTGCTCACAACATCAAGCACCAAGGTCAAGAGTTTGGATCCCCATACCAGCTGCCAAAAAAAAAAAGAAAAAGAAAAGGAAAGAAAAGAAATAGTCCTTTTCTCTGTGTGGTTGGTTATATGCTAACTGGATATATGGCTAGTTTATTTGTTTCATTTTATGTTTGAATTTTAGAAATTTCTTTCTCTTAAGTTTTATTTATAATTATATAAAATATTGGCTTTGATTCTAAAGTCAAATCTAAAAAACAGGTTATATTTGAAGAAGTCTACCTTTCATTCCTGTTCTTTCCTCTCTGTATCTTAGCCATAGTTTAAAAAGTATATCGTTACATTTAAAAAATATAAGGAAATATGTATGTATTTCTGTATTCCTAACTTTTCTTAGATAAACAGTAGCATAACTTTATGTACTTTTTTCTAATCATGCTTTTTTCAATATCTAGGACATCACTCCATAGTAGTATATAGAGATAGTCTTCATTCTTTTTTTTTTTTTTTTTAACTGAATAGTAAAAAACCATTGTGTGGTTGGACCATAGTTTATTCAACATATTGATGGGCATTTGTGTAGTTTCCAAGTGTATTACAAAGAGCCTTCCAGTGAATAGCCTTGTGATGCATCTTTTCTTATTTTTGCTGACTACTGTTACTATTAAAAAAAAATGATGGTTGTTACTCATCCTTAACTTTTATTATATATTATTCATGATTTTGGTTAGCATGTATAACTTCTGCAAAATACTGCTTTTAATTAAAAATTTTTGGTTAAATATAAGAAATAGAGCTGGCCGGGTAGCTCACTTGGGAGAATGTGGTCAAGGGTTTGGGTCTCGTTACTGGCGAGCTGCCAGGACAAACAAACAAAGAGATACTGAACTATTTTGTAATCTAGACCCATTTAAATCTTACACTAACCTTTAAAAATGATAGCTGATCTCTGGCCCTGAAGCATCAAAATGGGACTTAAGGCTGTTCTCTAGCCTTCTATAGCACCCTGTACCTATCTCTGTCAGTATACTTTGCTCTCTGTTAATTTGTCAGTTTCTAATTCACCTCACCGCACCCTTCCCACAGAAAACGTAGGAAAAAATGATAGCTGAGATGATCGTTTGCATAAACAACTTTTTCTTTAAAGTGACTGAACTTAAAAAATTGCAGCAGTGAGTGGATATTTTAAAAATTACAACATTTTTTAAAATTAAAAATTTTTTAAAAATAAAAAATGGACAGGGCATCTAGTACAGTGGTAGATTCTTCAACACTAGGTTCACTTAGAACAGTGCTTAGAGAAACAAAGTCAAATCTCCTCAAAGAGCTTCTGGCAGTGGGGGTGTTTGTCATGATCCTATTGATGAGGTCAAGATGTGAGCTTAGAAGGAACTCCTAGCCTGACTCTTCTGAATATGGAAAAGACGGTTGATTTAAATGCTGACCTGATGGTTTCACTCTGTAACTTCTCAAATTCTGGTCATCTTTTATGCATTAATAACAGCAAAAGGGAAAAATTGAGTTGCCTTTGGGGGAAATGAAATATAACAAGATCACGTCTATGCTCTACAAGTTCTCCATAGAAGTCAGACTGAGGTGGTAAAATTGTTGTGTACTAAATCAGGGCATTAATGTTTCACTGAAACTGAAGCTATTTCTAAATAGCTGATGGCCTGCTTTCTAGATCTCTTATGTACCTGCTTCTCAAATTCAGTATGTTTTTAAAAATTGCCCTTTAAGGTTGGAGCTAGGAGAATAAGGCTGACAACAGACAAGCCATTATAGAAAAAATTAGATACTTGGAAGCAGATACTCATTGTAATCTGAATCCTCTGAAACTGAAGTTTGATCCACAACAGCAAGGTGCCATTGTTTTAGTGATTGTACCTTAGTTTTTAACAGAAGGTGATGGATTTGGGCTCCCTTCCTTCTTACAGTGTGCTCTGATCATCTTTAAAACGTACCAAAGCTCTAAATTGCAAAGCCATTGGTAATTTAACTCTGACAGCCATGTTTTGTTTGTTTCTGTGCCAGTCTTCTGGTTTTTTGTGAAACGCTGCTTGTCATTTCAGATATGTTTACCTGTAGAGGGTTAGAAATCTTGATTCCTATTTGATCATTAGATAGGGTTTTTAGGTAATGCATGCATGGGACAAGAGTCCTCGGACAGGAAGCAAGAGCTTACAGCTAGGGGGGCAACCTAATCAATTCGGGCCCACCGAATCAATTCTAATCATTGTTTAGGTAAGGGATTATATACACTGATTATTAATATAATGAGTTCATTGGAAAATTTTGTGAAAAGGAAACTCACACAGATTTAAAGCCTTTGATGTGAACAAGAGAACTGAAACAGAACAAGGATTGTCCTGTGGGCAATAACCTTTAAGAGCTTAAATGTTGGGAAAATTTGTGAGTTAAGATTTCCAAGGACGTTTTGCTAGATTAGTTAGTACATGGGGGTTTTTCCACATTGTGCTTTAAGCTGTTTCTGTGAGTTTCTCAAGAAGTCAGGCACTTTCATGATTATTTTATTGTTTCTTTTGCTTGTTACTTCCCTTAGATTTATGACTCTTTTGTTGGTATATTGTTTTAACAATTTTGAACCATGCATGCTTGGATGAAGATTATTAGTTACATAGCCAATTTCTGTATGTTCTTACTATTATTGATTAGCCATCTGTTCTTTTCCTGTAATTTCCTTGTCTTTTCAATAAAAATTGGAGCCAAAACCAACTCAGGGCTGTTATCCCTCTCCTTCTAACAGAGGAGTTGCTGAGATGCAGCCCCTTTGGGCTCTCTTTGCATTCATATTGCTTTGAGTAATCTGTTTTCGTCTCTGTTACACTGCGAGAGGTGTAACATTTACCCATTACACACTTATAAATTACTTTTGTTTTTGACACATCTTAAAGTGTGAAGTCTCTTGTGAAGCTCTTTGGTTCTTTTCTCCTTTGCTACTGAAATAAATTCAGGTTGATGATTTTCTTTTAGGAATTTTTTTATTTATAAGGTGTTTACCCTCTTCCTCTGCCTGCTTCTCTCCTTTGAGTCCTCTAGGCCTGAGCTGACGGAGGGCACTGTGGGCTGAGCCTGGACGTTGAAGCTGACTGCAGGGTACTGCAGGACCCCAGTTGCAGGTGGAGATCTTGCTGCTGACAGTCCTTTAGGCCTTACTCTCTCCCTCCACCTGCCTCCTCTAACTTGCTGCCCTTTCTGTGTCCTGTATCTCTGCTTTCCATATA